CACTATTCTTCATATGGTGATCCACATGCAAATGAATTCGTGCGAAATACACGGATGCGAATAAACACTAGCGATTATGATCAATTGCTGCCCAGTCTATTACCTGAGGGGAGTTTCAGGTGCTCAGCTTATCAGTCTACACAGCAGCAGTCATCATTTATTCCAGTGCAACCTAGACAAGTGAGCTCTTCTTCTGGGTCTCATAGTCGACCTCATGTGCCTGCTGTTACTCAATTTTCACAAAATCTTCACCGTCCTTCATCAAATGTTAGTTTTGGGTCAAGAATTGGGAATTCTTCCACTTCTTCTGGTTCTACAATACCAATACCTGCTTCACAAGATCCCAGTACAAGCTTGTTGGGAAGCGATTATCCTGAGCCTCTTTTGTTAGGTTCTTCTTTGTTTACAGCTGATTCAACAAATTTATTATCTGCATCTGGAAGCAGAAGTAACCAGCAAAATTCTGGATCCAGCTCTAGTTCCATGCTTAGACCTGCTGTTAATGTTGGAGCTCAACAAGTCCCTGGGTTCAACATATCTCAGCCAAGTATAACTTTAAGAGGTTCATCTGATGTGTCCAGGAGGTCCTTAATTTCTGCTGGTGTTTCTCATTCTAGAACTTCAAGCATCGCATTGCAGCACCGTGGAACTTCATCCACATCACAAGAGATTAGGAGTCATCAGCCAGGTTCAAGCTCTCGTGCCCATCAGCAGCAGTCCTTAAGACCTGGTCATTCCTCCATAGACAGGCAGAGCTCTGGTTACTTGGACCTTCAGTCTTTTATGCAGACCATAGCTTCAAGGGAAGGAGGCAGGCCAATGTCAGAGGTAACTACCCTCGAATCATTTCATTGAACTGATGGCTTCATTAGTACTTGTATGATAATTTCGTTATGTTATATCATCGTCATGTCCCGTGGAAATGATTGGAGATATTTGACTCTTTTGATATTTCGGCCATGAAAAAGCTCCAGTTGATTTCATCCAATTTTTCTACTGATTGAGATGCTTATCATGCCATGAAAGTGCTCCAGCTGATTTCATCCAAGTTGAATGCTTTTATGTTGATGTACACTGCTGAATGCCATTTTGTTGGCTATATATGCATCTTTTTTTTTTAATAAACACTATATATGCTTCTTTGAACACATTTTCATGCAATTCCCAATCAGTGTTGAAATTAACATTTGTTGGTATCATATCATGCTCCATAACAGTGTATTCATTATTTTCATCAATACCCATACTAGTTGTGTCCACTATGGCAACCAATGATCTGCTCCCTAAATTAGCACTGGACATCACATTTGGTCTTAAATATCTGTGAATTTAATGGTTTTTAAGAATTGTTGTTTTTGATTAATGTGCTACTAGCTTTACCTGCCATATTTTGAGTTTGAATGTTTCCTGTTTTCACACACAGATCCGCAATGTTTTCGATCAGATTCGTCAGGGGAGAAATGCACGATTGGAGGTCAGATTTACTTCTGTTTTGCATATTGTTATAGCGCGCCAGGTGTAACATTTTGTGTCCTTTGCATACATGATTGAATCACCTGAAATTAGTCTATTAGAGGGTTGAACTCTGAATGTGATGATATATTGTTTACACACAAATGCACTTGCAAACACACACCACACATGCTCATACGCTAGTACACCTTTGGGAACATTTGGAGGCCTAGCCTCACATGGTGTGGGTGCGCGCGTTGCCGCATTGGCCATTGAATGCACCCACGTCTGCTACACTGCATGTACTACTACTTCCCTGGATGAATCAGAGTGGAATGGATACATAGACTAGTAATAGCGTGTTCTATATGACTAACTGTCAAAATAGAAATTTGAGATCGTTGTTAAGCAGCTATTCTGGGCTGTTTTTCCATAAAATGTTGCATGGAAACTTCCTCAGCTACTTAATCCAATAAGATAGATTAGTGTGCAACTTTCTGTACAATAGGTCGCTAGTTATTTGGCTTAAATTAACAATGTTGGCAGTAAATTGCAAACATTTATCAGTGCATATATGGTGCCAGGTAATAAGATTCAATGATCCAAATTATTTTACCAATGAGAAAGAAAGTCTATACTAAAAGCTTTCTTTATAGAACTTTGTGCTATGTATTTTCCTTGCCCTTTACTGCAACATGTTCAGTTTCTGCAACTTGAGGTCAAACTGTTTGTGCTACTTTTGTTATGTTTACATCTGTAGCGCTCCAATGATGTAATAATAATTTATTATCTAAATAAAGTATTATCTAGACAGTGATGGTACAAATTAATCTGTTTTCAAATAGATGTACCATTGTGACTGATTTGTGATGTACCTTGTTAATTAATTAACAGTATTATTTTTGTACAGGATTTGCTTCTCATTGATAGGTCGCTTATTATGAGGCGAGCTAATTTGATTGATAGACATCGGGAGATGCGGCTTGATGTGGATAATATGTCCTATGAGGTATCAACATTTCTCTTGATCATCATTTTCAGTGTTCCAAAAGGCGCTGCTAGGCGCCCACCTACGCGCGCTTACGCGCTAGGCGGAGGGGCACCACCTCGCCTAAGGGTGTAGGCAGAGGAAAGGCGGTGGTGTGCCCCCAGATCCAGGGCTTCGCTGCCTGCGGGAGGGATGACGGGTGGCGGCGAGCACACCGGGAGGAGGCTAGCGGCGGGCGCGAACGCGGCCAGGAGGCCGCAGGCGACAGGCGGAGGCTGGGGTGCGGCCAGGAGGAACGCAACCTGCGAGCGCAGCTGGGAGGCGGCGAGCGGCTGGGAGCAGAGGTAGGCGCAGCCAGTGGGCGGCGCCGGAGAAGGAGGGAGGAGGTGGGCATCGCTGGAGAAGGAGGGAGGAGGCAGTTGTCGCTGGAGACAGAAGCAGAGGTGTGGGGCGGCAAAGAGGAATCACGGTCACGGAAGGGAGGTGGAGAAAGCAGAGTCGCGAATCCGGTTCCTGCGGCTGGGAGGGTGGTGGATGGATAAGGTGGACGGGCGGATAAGGTGGGCTGGGCTTTTTCTACGGGCCTTTTCAACTTAAGTCCTCCGATTTCTTATTTCTTCTTTTACTTGAGATAATTTAAGGTAATATACATGTGTACCAAAATTAAAATGCCTAGAAAAACGCCTTAAAACGCCTAGGCTCTAGGCCGTGGGTCATCGCCTAGATACTGCCTAGCGCCTTCTTGAACATTGATAATTTTGTCGCTAAACCTTAAATCGTAGACTGTGGGGACATTGGGGGGAGGATATTTTAAATCCTGGAATATTTGGCTACTAATTTTTTTTTGAATGAAGTCATTTTTCCAGTGAAGAAGATATCTCAGACCATATATCCTCAACTCTGGGGACATAAATGTTGTTTCAGCATGGAGTCAGATTAAATTGCATGATGTGGTTTAAACTGCCTTAACTTCATGTTCAGAACTGAATTTTTGCTTGTAGTAGGAAGTATATAATTGGTACATTTGTAGCCGCTTTGAGTTTTAAAACTGTGGTTCCTGTGGCATCACACATGGTGTGACTGGATTTATGTTTGACTACTTCAATTTTCTGTGTTTCCCAGGAATTGCTGGCACTAGGTGAACGCATTGGGTACGTAAACACAGGACTTACTGAAGAAAAGATTATGAGTAACATGAAACAATGGAAATATGCCTTAATATCATTGGAAGATCCTCCAACAGGTGTTGAACCATGCTGTATTTGCCAGGTAATTTGAGAACTTTGTGTTCTCTTAAATTGCTTGCATAGATTTGTTTGACAGGAATTTATTTGAGATCAGATGCTATATTCTGACATAATGGTTCATCCATTGCATTATTTAAACTGGTGGTTCTAGTAAGGTTGTGGTGTAGTGAATGTCCAAGTACTCTGAAAAACCACATGATTATTCCTGGGAGGTGGTCCCTGCTGTGTGTTGAGTGTCCACAGAAGTGTTAGCCTGTCTTTTTAATTGTTACTGGGATGATGTGCGGTTGCATGTTGCATCCTGTCTTTTAATTGTCTGTGGCTCCAATGCTCTTGTCAAAGTTGAGGCGTAAATATAATAATTGTTTTGGGGAGCATCTCGTGTTTTATTTGCTGCTCTTGCTTAGAACGGGTTTATTGTTTTGGCTCAGTATTAGTGGTAGTTCATTGGCATTACTGAACATTGTTGACCTTGAACATTGCAGGAAGACTATGTGGAAGGCGAGGACTTGGGCAGACTGGATTGTGGTCATGACTTTCACACCGCATGCATCAAACAATGGCTGGTTATAAAAAATATGTGCCCAATCTGCAAGAAAACAGCACTGGACACCTAAGACATGGCTGCCTTTTTCCTCCTTAGGAAAAAAGCAGGTAGCAGCACCAGGGCAAGTGGTTGTCATTTAACCACACCCTCCCAAGACCAGCAACTGGTTACAAGCATGTTACACACCTTCCCATCATCAACATACATGTGGGAATTTATACTATAGGTGGTACATGGCACTTACCTGAAACCAATGGCTGTAGACCCTGGAGTTTCATCCTTGTTTTGTTCAAACCTAGATTTGGGATTTAAAATTTATTCAATGACATTCCATTTACTTGGGCAATCTGCGATACTTGCTATCACCATTAATCCCTTATCATCTCTGTTTTTGTTGCTTGATTTGCTGTGAGACTTGCAAGTTGTAGTCCGTTCACCCTGATTCTTTTACCCCTTCGGCCCTTGTCGGTTCCTTGGTAATGCAAACGAAATGGGAGAATGTGGTTTCGTAGCATAAGGAAACCATTGTGTACTGTGCACCGAAGCATAAGATGAGAATGTAGTCGTCTCGGCCTAACTGGTGGGTTACGTTTGTTGGGTCTCATCATTTTGCAGCCAGAAATGTGCTCGTTCCTTTTTTACAAACATGCCAGTTCAATATAATAGTTGTCCTGAATAAAAGCTCTACGGAAGTACAAGACACTGACGAGTTGGAGTGTACTGTTCGTCTGTTTATTCACTCAAATCTGTCGGCACGGTCTGCTGGTTACTCTGGGCAGGTGCTGCCTCCTCGTGCTCGTTCTCGCCGGAGAGCTCCTCCAGCGACTTCCCCTTGGACTCCGGAACCAGGAACGTGAACAGGAACCCGATGACAGTACCCGGCATCCGTCTTGGTGGGATCCGTGCTCTGCGCCGCGTACAGGAACCCGAATGACCCGACAATGGCGCCAGACTTCCCTGCAGCTGAAGAGATGCCGTGGCACGTGGACCGCAGCCTTGCTGGGAAGATCTCTGCCGGCACGACGAAGGTGGTGGAGTTTGGACCAAAGTTGGCGAAGAAGAAGGTGAACGCGTACATGACGACGAAGCCGACGTGGTGCCCCGGCGTCGTCCAGTGGTGGTACGGGATGGCGAGGCCCAGCATGAACACCGTCATGAAGAAGAAGCCGCCGAGCTGGATGGCGAAGCGCCAATGATGTCGATGAAGAAGACGGTGAACCAGTAGCCCGGGATGGTGCCGCACAGCGCGACCAGCGTCTGCGCGCGGGAGATCTTGAACATCTCCTCCAGGGCGTTCATGGTGTCCGCCTTGGGCAGCCAGTTCACGGCGGCGTAGATGTCCTTCTGGAACAGGTTCTGCGAGTAGAAAGCGATGTCCAGCATGAACCAGCACACCGTCGTGCCCAGCAGGTGGAGGCCGTGGCGCTTGGCGAACTGCCGGGAGAAGAGCCCGTACTCCTCGCGGCGGCGCTCCAGCTCCTCCGCCTTCGCCTTCTGCTGCTCCTCGGCAAGCTCGACGTTGAGCACGCGCGCCATGTCGGACGTCGCCTGCTTGGCGTTCGTGGCCACCAGCGCGGTGTACCGCGCCGTCTCGGGCATCTTCATGCGCCAGTAGTAGGTGAGCAGTGCCGGGATGGCGCCGAACATGAGGACGATGCGCCACGCGAAGTCAGCCTGCGGCACCGTGGAGCCGGCGAGGTCGTCCTTGTACGCCGGCGCGTCGAAGCGAGCCGTGAACGCCGCCGAGACGACGATGGCAACAATGCCACCGGTGAGGTTGCCGAAGCCCTGCATGGCGAAGACGGCCGCGATGAACGCGCCGCGCGTCCGCTTGTTGGCGTACTCGGACATGGTATATGGTGGCCGACAGCGGGTAGTCGCCGCCGATGCCGAAGCCAAGCCAGAAGCGGAAGAAGAAGAGCGTGGCCATGACGCGCTTGGGCGTGGACCCGAACGAGAGGCCGGAGGCGAGGCAGCAGACCACCATGAGCATCAGCGTCATGCCGTACACCTTCTTGCGGCCCATCTTGTCGCCGAGACAGCCGAAGAAGAGTTGCCCGGCGAGCGTGCCGCAGAACGCGACGCTGTTCACGGCGGCGGAGACGTTGGGTGGGAGGGAGCCGGGGGTCTTGGAACTGGGGTCGAAGTAGTAGATGCGGCCGAGGAGCTTGGTGACGAGGGAGATGGAGAAGAGGTCGTAGGCGTCCGTGAAGAAGCCCATGCCGGCGATCACCACCGCCGTGAAGTGGTACCACTGTGTCTTGGCGGCGTCCAGCGCGTCGAGCACCTTGTGATCGTGTGCCATTTCCGCAACGATCAACTTGGCTAGGCAATCACTCGTTCTGTCACCTGCTGCTCGATGTTAGCAGTTTGTGGAGTAAGGCCACAAAGCAATATTTAGGCGAGTAAGTTATACCTGCATGTACGTGTTCTTGCAAGTGTCAATTTAATTGCAAGAACCTGCAGACTTGCTGGTACTTACATACATATGCACATACAGGACTTGTTGGGATATATATAGACTACTATGCAGTAGAATAAATCCGGAACATTCTAAGTTCTATGGACTGTTTATCTGCAGGACATGTATAGTGCATGTCCAAATCTTGTTTGGTCAAATTACACAGTTTGTGGACGGTAGAGAATCAGGTAAACTTCTGGAATGGCCTATTGGGAGTGTGACCATGTCTTTTTCTCCTCTTATTATGAAAGCGATCAAGAGGTTCCATGGAATTTTGTCTCTGATTTGCATAAAGACACATCTAACGGAGATGAACTAACAATCAGAAAATTATGCCAAACCATTCTATTGGAAAAGGAAGTGACTGATACAAGCCAGATTGAAAGGAGGAGAAACAAATTGCAGACATGAAAGAGTAGTGAAACAATTAGCAAATTCTACAGGATTGACATATATACCTTGCAGGTACCAGCTTAATTGCTACTGCATACAGAGGAGGTCAGTGGGAATAAATGGAGATATAAAGAGAAGCCAAGAAGGTATCACTTGCAATCAGACAGAAGACTGACGGCATTCATACAGGTGCTTGTGCTCAACAGTCAAAGTATTCCTCATTAACTATGTATACCATCCATCTGTTGCGGCTAACAATGTACCATTTGTGGCTGCTTGTGGACGCAAGTGATGATTCCAGAGCAAGGTCTATATACGTGTCCAGGATGTGCTGTACACTACACACAGCTTGGTTGGGTAGAGATTCCTGTCTGACTTTTCCATTTTTGTTTTTTCTCCTTTGATCTGCTTACTTGTTGGAAGCAAACAAATAGGCAATGAAGAAAGGTGTACGTGTTAAAGTAGTTATGACAATCGTTCGCTTTGCTGAGGGACTTCGTTTTTTTTTTTTTTTACTCAACGAGCATCTCTACCGATGAGGTTGAGCTGTTTTTTTCTTCAGGTTTGGTAAAAACAGCTCCACTGACGGAAAAAGGCTAAAATTACGATACTGCCCTTAGCTTTAATTTTTTATTATTTTCCTATTTTTCCTCATCTCCTCCCGGCCGCTATCTTCCTCACGGGTCTCATCTCGCATGCCCCCATGGTCGCGTGCCGCCGCTCATCCCGTAGGCTGCGAGACCTGGTGGCCGCGCCCCGGAGGCCGTACGCCGGCGACTGCGAGCCCCCCGCCGAGCTGGTGGCTGCGCCCCAGCGAGCTGCGCGTCTTCCTCCTGGTGGCTGCGCCCCTCGGCGGGCCGCGCCTAGGCGAGCTGCGCCCTCGGCGGCCGCGCCCCAGCGAGATCCGGCGGTGTCCGCATCCCTGCGCCCGTCTACGACATCCAGCGCCGTCCGCGTCCCTACGTGCGTCTGCCACATCCAGCGGCGTCCGCACCCGGCGGCGTCTGCAGCTGCGCCCCGCGGCAGCGCCTGCGCTCGGTGGTGGCACCCGCATCTGCGTCCGGCGGCGGTGCCCGCAGCCGCGCGCGCGCCCACGGCAGCTGCATGCGCGTGCGCACCAGCGGCCGTGCCCGTGCGTGCCGCGGTGGTCGCGCCGGTCGTGCCCCGGTGGCCGCGCCCACACTCCCCGCCAGAAGAGCACGCGACGTGACCGTGGGCAGATGTGACAAAGGGACTGGCTGGGCCCACTGGTGGCAGATAAAGCTGGATTAAACTAGTTTTTCAGCTTTATCCCATCATATTCCTACGTGAGAGGAGAAAAAAACAGCTGCACCTGTGAAACTGTTTTGAAAAAAAATATTTGATAAAAAAAAAAGCTCACAACAGCTCTGTTGTGAGCTATGACAAACAAGATCTATGTATGACATTTCACTTGTCAATGGTTATATTAGGGTATTACTAGCTACCATTTTTTGGTTGTACCACGAGAAAAGAAAATCCTTTGTCATGGAGTAGTGTAAAATCCAGCCTAAAGTAGAGTTGCCTAAACAATATGTACGGATTAAATAAAGTGGCCCATATGCAGAATAAGAAAGGCTTTGGTTCTAGACTTCTAGGTGTGAACAATGTAGAACTCATAACCCATCTCCACTGTGCTGCCCAACAAGTTTAAAAGGGATGCAATCAATCAAAGTTAGATAAAATCGGATATCGCTGGGCTCATATATATCCATTTTTTTTCGAACCATACGTGAGAGCTACGTGTCATTTCATTAAGGTAAAAAAAATGTACATGAGTCTAGAAGGACCCAAACTCGAGTAGAAAAACAACACTCACACCAGCACCATCATACAAAAACTACAGACTCCCAAGACTACTAGAAACAAACGACAAGCGACCACAGGCCTAAAAATCAATGGCCAGCAACCTGGGCATGAGCTCCTGGAGCTTTGAAGATCCTGCAGAACACCAGAGCCCACCTTCTATGCTTACAGCCCTAAGCACAGTCTGAATGCACGGCCTCAAATTTTCGAACACACAGTCATTTCGGTGTTTCCAAACCTCCCATGCTACCAAGATTATCAAGGAGTTGAGGCCCCTAAGCACTTCTTTTGGTACTGCTTTGATTACTTTCCTCCACCATCCAGAGAAACGACTAATTGAAGGGTCAGGTACTAACTGCATTAAGCCCAAGAGCTGAAAATCGATGCCCATACCTATATAATCTTAAAGAGAGCAAACAAAGCTCCTTTGGTCTCTCGTTCCTCACTTCCAACATCCTTTCGTCACTCACTCCTCGGTTACAAAACCACACGAGCATATAGATTGTCTTTCACCTTTCTCAACCTCACAAAAGCTATGTACAATAGCAACCTAATTAAGATGAGTCAATCTTCAATCATTTTTTATATGGGTTTTTTGACAACCAAAATTGTCCAAAGTGCATAATGGACTTCGCCATCATATTTATATTGTCAAGACACCAGAAAGCATACTTGGATCATCGCATTTGGAGCTCGCGCGAAGAAAACAACTTTTCAGGGGCTGACCCAGCCGAAATCGGTTTAGTCGACTCTCAAAACTGGCTAAAGTGACTTTCACAACTTTCTAAAATGCAAGAATGGAATGAACCATTGGGTTCCTCTCGTCGAACTGATCCAAAAACATATATGGATCGCCTCGTTTGGAGTCTGAATGAATTAATTATGATTTTTGGAAGCTTTTTGCCCAAAACCCGTAGGTACTGGCTTAGCCGACTCCAAGTCGGCTTAGTCGACTTTGTCAGTCCCAGATCAGATCTAAAATGCATTTTGATGTGTTTTGGAAGGGCCATGGACGATTGAGGTGTCCAACACACACAATCGACACAAAAATCAATCTACAACCCCTCTTCTACCCTCTCTTCCCATCTACTTCTCCTCGTTCTTCGTCGACGCTGCATGGATGGTGGATTGATAATGGTGAAACTCTATAGAGCTGTTAGGATGGCTAGGGCAGCCCATGGCAGCTGCACACCCCGATGGGGTCCCTCTCGGGCATGTGGGGTTTCGGGTTCCAAGAGACATTATTGGCATGTCTTCCGTATCACACTCCTAAAGAGGCTCATCCGGCGACGTGTCTTGCGTATCGTGCTCATCGCTAGAGGCATATGGTCCGAGTGCAGACAAACCCTAGGAGTCGGCCTACCTAAAAGTCATATAGGTCCTACATCGAGCGATCTAGCTCCTTATAGCAGGTGTGTTGACCTAATTAAGCGCCAACACATTTTTTAGCGACTCCAATGGTGAAGATTGGTTCAGCTATATCCAGTAGCCGATGTTTCTAACCTAGCCAATTTATTGGATGTCGAACAACGTTCTCAACAGTGATTTCACCAATCTGATGGGTCAGGAGAACATCATCAAGTCTACAACCAGACCTAAGGTAAAGGCAAGTGGAATAGCTGAAGGGTCTGTTCTTTTTCATGCTATGAATAAGCTTATGTCTAAATTTGATGAATTAGAGGAAATAATATTTGGTGCTCCTATTGTTACTTTACCTCATGATGCATGTATTAGTGGGATGACCCCGGCTTTTAGTCAACCTCAATGTGAGAGGCCTTTTCACTATTATTTTGATCAATATGGCAGGTTTGCTTTTGATAATCAATCTGAATTGCCTCTTCAGTGCCCGAAACCGATAAGGCCAATCCAGCTTGGGGTTAGCACTAGTACTTCCTGCTGCTATATACACATCGAATTTGGTTCTTACCTCTTGAATCGATGATAGGACAGCAACACCGAGTGCTTCATTGCCTCGTATTACAGCGTTGTCTGGCTCTCCAAAGTCATCGAGCATGGTCCAAATGCTCGAGGCTTCATGTGACGCCTCCCAAAACGATTTGTAGGAATTTGTTTATCGGTTTAGGAAATCAGTAGAGGAAAAATTAGACATGCAAGCTATGAATGATGGAGATGCACATCCTTTACCTTTCAAGTCACCTTCCATGGCTGAAACTCTAGAAATAAATAATCCGGCCATCTTGATTCGGCTAGAACAAGCCACTTCCATTATTATTGAAAAAAATGTGATAATCGGTGAGCCCAGAAAACCTAGAATGGGAAAGAAAGTCTTAGATCATATGTGTTGAGAGATAACAAAATGGTAAGGCATCAATAGAGTAAGTATATGTGTTGAGAGATAAGGAAGTTCTCAGTAATCCCGTTGTTAAAATCGGCTCCACAGATGTTTCAATCAAAGAAATTGAAGGACCAATTATCATCGGCAATCTGGACCAATATGATGTAGAGAAAATACAAGGGGACGCTGTTGTTAGCGATTATGAGGCCTAGAGTAGCACATCGGCTCCCGAGAACTTCCAGCCGACATGGTGCCGTTGGGGTTTGTCAAAGACGCAAAGGCGCAAACTCTAGCATGCCCACTGCAAGAAGCTCAGGCAAGAAGGGCTAGCAAAGATGGGGGAAGACCAAGGAAGGTGAATATATATAGTGTGGACATTTAGTCCTGGTTGGTGGCGCAGTCCGGGACTAAAGGCCCCTCCTGCGCCCGCTTGCGGCGTTAGCCGCTGACCCCGGGACTAAAGCCCAAAAACTAAAGGTTGTATATTTTGGATCGAAGTCTTTAGCCCAACTTTATTAGAAAGCTTGATTCTAAAGAGTAGTAGGTTGTATATGTACACTGTAATATAATATATCTTATCTGGGATATTAATTTTAATTTGACTCCAAGTCACATTAGGGCCAAATAAATTGCTGCATCAAACCAAACAAACAAACGAGTTGTAGACCTGATGTAAGCAACGGTCCCGGCCACGCCACACGGCCACAGTCATCAACTTCATCAACTCATAAACATCAGCAAGAAAATTAGGCGGGAAGACATGGACTTCTAAGTCACTGATGCCAGCTTCCGAGGGGAATATGCCCCAGGAGCCCAAGCAATCGAGGCTACTATCTAGGTTTCAAATTATATGTTATTTTAATTCTCTCTCTCTCTATGTATCGAGATATATAATAAAAACTATGTACCTAGAAAAACTGAAATGAGTATAATTTTGGATCCAGAATATAACTACAAAGTATGGCTAGTGGCTAGTGCAAGAACATAACAACAAAACATGTAACGACTTCAACAATTTTATGTTGAAAGTAGTTAGAGGCCATTTGGAAGACTGAATCAGTTTCGGTTCTGATTCTACCAAGAAACAGCAGAAATGGTACCAAATGAAACAACAGAGAAACGTTAAGTTTTAGGCATGAAACGGTATGGAACGATTCATGTTTTGTTCGTTGGAGCTCAAAAGGCTGGAAATTTCTCATGGATTCCGGTTTCGCTACTGTGTACTGATAGTTACAGTTTTTCTTCAATTATAATTGTTTCTTAGTGCAACAGGTCAAAATGGATTATATTAAAGATGTTCTTCACCCATAAAAAGTTTAGAATTTTTTAATCATATTTCATCTGTATGATTTTTCATTAAAAAAATTTTTTGGAAATCAGAAACACTGGCAAACATCCAATCGGTTTGATGAAGTGATTCTAATTCATCACCCGAAACATCTCCTGAGGAATATGAATTCGAAACGTTTCTACAAGAATCTGGATCCCTACCAAACACACCCTAAGTTGGCGGGATTATCAAGAGACATTAGTTATTTTGTTCGGAAATGCTATACTACGGGTGTCCGTCCGTCCGGACGCCACGCTTCCTGGGCCTGCACGCTACCTACCAGCCCAACAGGCTTGTTCCCCTCTACCTTCCTTCACGGTTTCTCCAAAACAAAGGTAGCGACATTTTCCAACTCACACAGCCGTTGCAGCCCCACTGTTCTCCTGGCGCTCGCCTTCTCCAGTGCGGTTGCCGCTCGCCGCGGTATTCTAACGCGGGGGCGCCTCGTCGCGGGCATGGCACCCGCTCTCCACGACCTTCTCCGGCGCGGGGGACCCGCACGAGACGCGTCCTATCGCCGGGGCAACGCAATCGCTCACCGAGGGCCGCGTAGCTACCCGCCCACTGCCATCCTCCTTCTCCACCACGACCTAGCGTCGGATCTTGCTGTGCAGTGCTCCGCCCGCATGGCAGGTTTTGCTCAAAGCGCATGTTGCAAGCGTATGTTTTAAGTGTGTCAGTGGTATGTTGCAAAAGTAGATCGGGATATTGCATATATTGCAATGGCTATACACATATGTTGCAAGCGTCTGTTCTAAATGTTTCATATGTTTTTTAGACGTATATTGCTAGTGTGTTTATCTGGATGTTGCATATGTTTCACACATATGTTGCAAATGTTTTATCTAGATATTGCGTATGTTTGCAATGGTTATGCTGAGTGTTTTTAGGTGTTTTTGCAAGTGTTTCAGACGTATGTTGCAAGCGTTTCAGCTGTTTCAAACGTACGTTGCATCGGGATGTTGCAAAACTAGATCTAGTATTGCTCATGTTGCGATGGGACCTACCTGCCACAGCCGCGTGCTACAACTGCTGGGATGCCACCGAGCGGGCGCATACGTCTGGGTGGGGTAAGCGGAGGGGGCGCGGGCGGTCCTGGCGTGGAGTCAGGCAGTGCAGGCAACGTCCGGGCGAGCATAAGCCCCACGTGGGACACGTGAAACGATGCAGGCGCGGGCGTCTAGACGTCCGAGCGCTAGCACTGCCGTATTTTGTTTGCTATTCCATTGTCAGGAGACATTAGTTATTTTCTTTGCTATAGTGGGACCCATCACGGCTCTTCTTCGCTGTCTTTATTACAAGCTGGTGTATTTGCTTTCTGTTGCAGCGATGATATACTCTCTCCGTTTCTAATTCTAAGTCGTTCTAGTTTTTTAGGTGCATAGTTTTTGCTATGCATATTATACATAGTGAAATTTATGTATCTAAAAAGCTTCAACAACTTAAAATTTGGAATGAAGAGAGCTTCAACAACTTAAAATTTGGAATGAAGAGAGCATGTCCTGTTTGCTATACAGATTTTCTTATTTTCGGTAGTTTAGCATGCAGCTCACTCAAGTTTCGACAAAAAAGTGGTATGTTCTCTCGGTGACACGGCATTAGTTCAGTCGATTAGAACTCTGCATGCAGCTGTGTGAAGAAAAAAACATATTAAAACACGTGCATGGCAAATTGGGAATATTCCAATTGAAACAAGTAGAGACGTGCAATCAGAAGCTTATGAAGATATAATTGTCCACAGTGCATTGTTTAACCACTTAATTGACTAGTTCTATTTTTTCCCGATCGGGCTTGGCCCGTTTTTCATTAAGCAGATAGGAGTGTGCAAAACATAGATAATTAAATTCTTATCATATTTCCACAACAGAACAAAAGTTTGTTTTTAGATAACAGAGTGGAAGAAGAAAAGTGTGTCAAGATTTGAGTTCTATTGCAGACTGATTTAAATGAAGAGTCAATGCACGGGATCAATGACATCAACTTTGACCATACATTGGCGACTGACTAAACGCAGGGATGTTGTTGCTTTCAGAAAACTACCAAGTTAGTCTGCTTTGCTAACCTTCACTTGCTAGCTCTATATATAGTACCCAGGTGTTGCCCTCTGGGGCTATGTAGCTAAACAAACAAGGCCAAGGATATCACAATATCACAAGATCTCTTCGCTGAGGAGAATTGGTATGTGCCACACCATCTTATATTCAGTAACTCTGTATATAGGGAGCCTGTATTTTTTTTTTTTTTGCATGGTTTTTCTTTTCTTATCTCAGTCTTGGTTTTAGAATAATATGGTTTTCTGAACTGAGAATCTGGAAGATTGGCTCTCCATTTTCATGAAGATTAAACTCACTATATGTTGTGTTGTATATTTGATGATCCTTTTAGCATTTTTCAACCGGTGTTTACATGGTTATTCTTTTCTGTTTATGTGATATCGATTAGGCTACCAACCCCTTCAGGTCTTGTCTGGAAACATGATAATCCCATCCAATCTTTAAGTATTGGGAGGGATTGAAGCGATAATCAGTTCGTTTCCCCTTCAATCCATATGTAATAGCAGGGAATGGTTTCAGACGATCTACAGACAAAGCACATTTGAGCATCTAAATAAGGATTGGTTCGATATGGGATGAGATCATAAATGGGTCAAGACTCAAGAGAAGGTGTTTCATTTTCTTAAAAGAACTAAGTTGTGTATTCAGTCTGGCTATAAAGGTAGGTTTAAGGCCCCCGCCACCCCCCACGCACCCACACACACACACAAAAAAGAAGAAGAAAACTGTCTCTTTTTCCTAGGTAATGGAAAGAACGTTCCAGCTTCAACCTCCTTAGGGAGGAGCAATCAGTGCACACATACCTAAAATAGTCTCCAACATAGGGCTTGAGATTCAATCCTAAAAGCGATGGCCACATGAGTTAGATGCAAAGAAATGCATTGTCCTTGTCCCCATTTCAAGAACGCGACATACCTGGATGATGTACTTCTTCGTTCTGATCTTTTTGTAGATTGTGAGACTTACCCCGGAGAAATCACTTTTCTGGCTTTGACTCATTAACATAAAAATGGTTCCGGTTTCTTGGTGTCCCTTGCATGGAGCCATTTTTTAGATGGCCGTTTGGTGGAGCTTCTTGCAAAAAGCCGCAAGAAAACAGAGCGAGCCATGCCAATTGCCAAAGTCACTGTAGCTGTTCTTGAACCAAAGAAGAAACGACAATTTTTTTAGTTCAGATGAAAAAGTAGCCGGAAATTGAAAGTGTGCCAAATGGGCCCAACACTAGTGTAAGTATCCCTTGTGATCAGATGACGAGAAGTACACCTTGGAAGCAAAACTGCAACTTTGTGCAGCCACACAGGTTGTTTATCATTCTCCTTTCTGGGCCATTCGACAAGTTCGTCAAGTAAAGGCATATATAGCGCTCGAGATTGCGTCGGTCAATTTCTGATTATTATGTCTAGTTTGGACCTGCTCCCCGCATGCTGTGCACTTGGGTGCGAATCTTTTGTTGCCAGATGCACTTTTGCTTGGGTTTTCACGAGGGCCCCGTTACAAATAGAGACAATTATAGGAAATCAAGTCACCTGATTCCCGTACACATGTCTGTCTCATCTTCTTCATTCCAATACAAAGAGAAAAACTCATGATCCAAACGGCAGAGGTTGACACAAGAAAGAATATTCTGTAGCACGCACAAGTTTAGTAGCATCTGGAGTACACGTGGTGCTTCGAGTCTTTGACGAATGACCACTGTTTGTATTTTTTTTATTATTGGAAGGAGTACACGTGATTCTCCTCTCTTCCATTCCATCCACTGTCGCGTAGTAATCCTGCAGTTTAACACGCTATTGAAGAGTTGAAGTAATTACTTTGTAACGATCCTCAGTTTTTCCCTTTCATTTTCTTGAACATACTTGTTGTGTTATACTATTTCGGAGTCCAGCAAAATTCTCTCATTTTTACACAGCTCCATTTCTTAGTGCGCAGAAGAAGCTAACGCTCCACCGCCATGGCCAAAGAGCTCAAGGTGCTGAGTGCGCTCGACGCCGCCAAGACGCAATGGTACCACTTCACGGCGATCGTGATCGCCGGCATGGGCTTCTTCACCGACGCCTACGACCTCTTCTCCATCTCGCTCGTCACCAAGCTCCTCGGCCGCATCTACTACTTCGACCCCAGCTCCAAGACCCCCGGCTCTCTCCCGCCCAACGTCTCCGTCGCCGTCAACGGCGTGGCGTTCTGTGGCACGCTCGCCGGGCAGCTCTTCTTCGGCTGGCTGGGCGACAAGATGGGCGCAAGAAGGTGTACGGCATGACGCTGATGCTCATGGTGGTCTGCTGCCTCGCGTCCGGCCTCTCGTTCGGGTCCACGCCCAAGGGAGCCATGGCCACGCTCTGCTTCTTCCGCTTCTGGCTCGGTTTCGGCATCGGCGGCGACTACCCGCTGTCCGCGACCATCATGTCCGAGTACGCCAACAAGCGGACGCGCGGCGCGTTCATCGCGGCCGTCTTCGCCATGCAGGGCTTCGGCAACCTCACCGGTGGCATCGTCGCCATCATCATCTCGGCGGCGTTCAAGTCTCGCTTCGACGCGCCGGCGTACAAGGACGATCCCGCCGGCTCCACGGTGCCGCAGGCCGACTACGCGTGGCGCATCGTCCTCATGTTCGGCGCCATCCCGGCTCTGCTCACCTACTACTGGCGCATGAAGATGCCCGAGACGGCGCGGTACACCGCGCTGGTGGCCAAGAACGCCAAGCAGGCGGCGTCCGACATGACGCAGGTGCTCAACGTGGAGATCGTCGAGGAGCCGGAGCCCGCGGAGGAGCTGGCGCGGCGCGAGCAGTTCGGGCTCTTCTCCCGGCAGTTCGCGAAGCGGCACGGCCTGCACCTGCTGGGCACGACGGCGTGCTGGTTCCTCCTGGACATCGCCTTCTACTCGCAGAACCTGTTCCAGAAGGACATCTACACGCCCGTGAACTGGCTGCCCAAGGCGGATACCATGAACGCGCTGGAGGAGATGTTCAAGATCTCCCGCGCGCAGACGCTCGTCGCGCTGTGCGGCACCATCCCGGGCTACTGGTTCACCGTCTTCTTCGTCGACATCATCGGCCGCTTCATCATCCAGCTCGGCGGCTTCTTCTTCATGACGGTGTTCATGCTCGGCCTGGCCATCCCGTACCACCACTGGACCACGCCGGGGCACCACATCGGCTTCGTCGTCATGTACGCCTTCACCTTCTTCTTCGCCAACTTCGGGCCCAACTCCACCACCTTCATCGTGCCGGCGGAGATCTTCCCTGCGCGGCTGCGGTCCACGTGCCACGGCATCTCGGCGGCGGCCGGGAAGGCCGGGGCCATCATCGGTTCCTTCGGCTTCCTGTACGCCGCTCAGAGCACGGACCCGAACAAGACGGACGCAGGGTACCCGCCGGGCATCGGAGTCCGCAACTCGCTGTTTGTCCTCTCCGGCTGTATCGTCGCCGGGTTCTTTTTCACGTTCCTCGTGCCGGAGTCAAAGGGGAAGTCGCTGGAGGAACTCTCCGGTGAGAACGAACACGAGGAGGCTGAAACGTCCGCTGCGGCCGACTACAGGACTGCGCCGGCGCCACCGGCTTGATTGAAGAAGCATGCCAATCGTGGTCGACTGATCGTGGGTGGTCGTTACATGTTTGCAAAGCCAAATCTACATTGCTGTTGTTACCGTTTTGTGAACGATTCGTTGTGTACCGGTATCACAATATGGAACTAGGAAAACTATAAAACTTGTACCAATTTTTTTCCTAAAAATGTTCTGTACTTGTTTAGATCTATATAAGATATTTAGAAATGGTCTATTTCTGTTCTTTTTTTGAAACTGTTTATTTCTTTTCTTATTACTTTATTGCTCGTAGTTGAACACATTATTTACTTAAAACAAGTATGATCCAAATAGCTTTAAATATAGCACCAACAAATATATGATATTTTAAGAAGGAAACTGGAATTAATTTCATATATGTATCTTTAAATAAATTAATTATGAATTTCTAGAGATCAAAACCACTTTTCGAACCACCTAGAGGACCAAAATTTGTTCAATTTTCTAAGGATAGAGGGCTTCATAATTTAAATTTGAAAATTGGATTCCATTGTAAGTTGGAGGTGAAGAAAACGGTAATGCCCTCTGTCGAGCGTTCGTCCGGCTGGACGGGATGGACCTGCCTGCCCCTGCGCCTCGCAAGCCCTGTGGCCTCATGCCTCGTGCGCCCCACCCACGCCTCGTGCCTCGCGCCGCGTGTTGCTCTTGCCTAGCATCACCTGCGCCTCACGCTGCTTACCCCTCGCGCATCGTGCTGCGCTCCGCTGCACCTCGTGTCTCCTGCCCGGACTCGTGCTACGCACAGCCGAGGTCCGACCTCCGCGCCGTGGCATCGAGCTCCGTGCCGGCGCCAAGCTTCATGTCAACGAGCGTCCATTGGGGGGGGCAACAAGTAGATGAGCACATGTTGCAACCGTATGTTTCATGCGTTTTAGACAATGTATGTTGCATATATTTAATCTAGATGTTGCAAAAGTAGATCTAGTGTTGCATATGTTGTAATGACTATACACGTATGTTGCAAGTGTATGTTTCAAATGTTTCAACTGTTTCAAACGTATGTTGCAAGTGTTTTATCTGGATGTTGCATATGTTGCACTGGATATACACGTATGTTGTAAGTGTATGTTTCAAATGCTTTAGTTGCTTCAAACGTATGTTGCAAGTGTTTTCTCTAGATATGGCAGTGACCTTACACATATGTTGCAAACATATGTTGTAAATGTTTCATCTGTTTCAGATGTATGTTGCAGCAAATGCTTTATGTTGCAAGTGTTTCATGAGCAAGCGCGGGCGAAGGTGGTTCCCTTGGGCGCGGCAGCAGGCATGGAGCACAAAGCTATATCCACGGGCGTGGCAGCAAGCGCGGAGCACGAAGCTACATCCATGGGCGAGCAACAGGCGTGGAGCACGTGGCGAAGCGGAGCACGAAGTTGCATCCATGGGCAGGCAGCAGGAGCGGATCATGAGGCGAAGCGGGGCACAAAGCTACATACATAGGTGCCCTGAGAGTATCATTATTGAAAACGGGTGGGCAGTAGGCGTGGGCGTTCAGACGGACGCCGCGTCCGGACATCCGGACGCTAGTCTCTCCGTTAAAAAATGTACTTTACCCTTAAACAACACCTTAAGCATGTGCATAATTTGCTTTGCCACCCAAACTTGTTTAGCACCTCTTGTGTTGGTTTGTTGTTCACCTCGCCACTACCTTGTCATTTTCTTCTTCTTCAACAAGTATGGTGTAGTGGCATTCTTGTCCACCTTGTTGCTATAGTTGTTGGAGAGCTTGATTGGAGAGTGTGACGAACTATCAGGGATGAAAGCAAGTGATAGATGAAATGATTTATTGCTTTTAATATTAGATATAGATAGACATATATAAATGAATACAACATATAAGAAAAAATGTATCTTATAGCCTCGTAACACATTTTTTGATTTATTTAGAACTATAGTTGCTTTATAATGAGTTTCATATTTTTTTAAAAGGATAATTCTCACCTAATTTTTAGAATTTTTTAAATAATATTTTAATAAATAAATACAGATCTAGATGTTGTTTTAGAAGAATTATAGATATAGTACACTGTCGGTAGTCCAACCGTCGACTCAGCACTTGTCGGTAGCCCAGCGACCAAAAAGACTATGTGGCACCTATGTGTGGTAGCTGTTGGCGGTGCTTAACTCTTATTTTCACCCGCCAGCTTTACATAAAATCTATACAAACAAACACCAAAACTTAGTAAATAGGATTTATACTAACGAATTCCATGAGTTTTGGTGGGTCATTTGTAGGACACTTACTTGGAATACATGGAAAAAGAGTCAAAATGCGCAACTAGGAAAGCGTAAGCGCATACCCTACACAAACAATTAAAGAGGAGGCCCGCTCACCTGACAAATTTGGGCCTCAAACCCACCAAAGCACACTCCAGGCCCATCATACAACCCACCAGGCAAAGGCGGTGCCAAGGCAGCCCAGCCATGGTACCCCCACTGGCGCCCCTCAGGCCTACCTTTGGCATGGCGGTTCATTAATGATAGTAGAAGGCGGTGCAGGGTGTGTGGGGGTATTAACCCCTATACCCTTACGGCTAGGTTTGGGCCGGCCCGGTCCAGGGGGTTCGGTCCACCAGAAGACGACGCGCGGCCCAGCCGATCTGCTCGGAGTTCCGCGCAAGGAATCAAGGCAGACTTGGAGATCAAGCAAGATCCTGGTCGGTTAGAATAAGAATCCTTATCTGGCCACTTATGGCAATTGTAATCGGTTATGATTAGTTTCCAGATCTGTAACCCTGCCCCCCAGACTATATAAGGTGGGCAGGGGACCCCTCTAAAACACAATCTTATTGACATACAGCAATACAATCAGACGCATGACGTAGGTATTACGCCCTCACGGCGGCCGAACCTAGATAAAACCTCGTGTCTGTCTTGCGTCATCATCTCGTTCGTAGCTTGCGCACCTGTCTGCCGATAATCTACTACCTTGGGCATACCCCTAGGTAGACTGCCGACCATATTTCGTCGACAGTGGCGCGCCAGGTAGGGGGTGTGCGTACTGCTCCCCAGACGAACAAGATGGTCATCATCCCCGGCTCCATGGCTACGCCGAATGGCTTCACGTTCACCATCGGCCAGATCACCTGGACCACTGGCTCCGACAACTTCATCGCCATGACCACGGAGGAGGTGCAGATCCAATCTGCGTCAACCACTGCTTCACCAGCATTGGCTACGACTCCGACCACGTTGGATCTGGCTCCGGCCACACCAGCGTCGTACTCAGCCACGCCGACAGCCCGTCGTTCGCTTCCTCGCTACAAAGGGAGACAGATCGACAACACCGACCTGCTCGACTCCATCGATCGGGTCGGCACCAAGTTTGCTGAAACCCTAGCTCTGGTAGATTCGATTCAAAATCAACCTACCGAGCAAGTAGCCACTACCCACAACAGATCTACCCGACCAGCTCAGGCTAGTCGTCCTGCACGACTCGGTACGGATCTCGCGGTCACGTCTACTCCTAAAGGGCGCTCCATACGTCGCCGACCAGCCCCTGCAACCGGTCTCCGGCTCTCAGAGTGCGAAGCCTTGATGGAGAATCACCAGGCCTAGCCCTACGGCCTGCAAAACACTGCTTCCAACTATGTGTGCAATATACAACGACCTCGGCCAAAGCCATGCAACTTCATCAACATGGTTCGGATCGAGGAGTACCAAGAAGGATCAGTTCACATAGTTCAAGAGGGTGGCTCAAGCTCCTCGTCCAGCACCGTATCTAATGGTTCCATCCACACTGAGCTTTAGCTTCGCGACGATGAAGAAGTTGATTATGATCTGGATATCCCAGACCGCCCCCGGGGTTTCCACGATTCCCATCCTTCCCACCAAGGCGAGGAGACTTAATCAATGTCGTCAGTAATGACGAACCCCCGGTAGTTGGCGAAACAGAATAAGAAAGGCTAGCACGCGAAGCACGCAATATTGACCAGTTTAATCGCAGACAAGCTGAAGCCGAGGCAGAAGTGGAGGCACGGCGCATAAGGCTCCAGCCACGTGATCTCAACAATGCCTTTGATAGGGTAGGGGAAAAGCAAGTCTTCAGGACTCCAAGCGCCAACGTAGCTGTTGCTATGGCGATAATGCAACGACTGCCCAATACCCCGGAAATCCAGGCAATTCGTGATGATATGCAAGCCTACCTGACGGCTGCTATGGCCTAGACCGCAGAGATTGTGAACCAAGCTCGGGCTCAGACCGCCTCAGTCAAATCAAGCCACAGTCATCAGTATTCAAGTTGCCCACATCCACCCAACCAACGTGGCTCGCACAACAACGTCCCACCAGACAACCGTCAAGGTGGAAACGGTGGTCATGATGGTGGTCGGGACGACAACCGCCGCTACAACCAGGATGACAATCGATGAGAAAACCGCAACAATCGCCGTGACAACCACGGTCGCAGGCTCAACCAGGGCGGCAACCGGGATCACCGTGATGGCAATAACGATCTCCGCCATTATCTCGAAGAACGCGATTTGCGCGATCGCATTAACCAAAGAGCCGACGATCGTGAATCTCACGAAAGCTATCGCCGTATGGAATATGATACTACCCACGGCCCTCTGGGTTTGAAGCAGTTCACTCCTCACCTTCGCCAAGTCGTGTGGCCAAAAACCTTCAAGCTCGAAAAACTCCAGAAGTACGACGGCAAGGAGAACCCAGAGTTATGGGTCATGCTCTACGAAACCACGTGCAGATCAGCCATGGCTGACGAGCACGTCATGTCTAATTACTTCCTAGTTGCCATTGGCCATGCAGGCCACCAATGGCTGGTTAGCTTGCCGGCAAACTACTTTGATTCTTGGCAAGAGCTCAAGCAAGCATTCATCGACAATTTCATTGCTACTTGTGAACAACCCGGCAACAAATATGATCTGCAGCGGATTTGAGATCGCAAAGATGAGCCACTGCGCGAGTACATCCGATGCTTCTCGGAGATGCGCATCAAGGTCCCATCAATCTTCGACAACGAG